CTGTGCCCCTGCCCATCGCCATCTTTCACTCTGCGTTCCCCTGGGTAAGATGTCATCCAGTTCCATCACACGGGCCAGTGTTTTTCTAATTGAGGGTTTCAACCAATAGATTAAAAAAAATCAATGCAGCAGTATGCCCTAGAATTTTTTTAAAAATTTTATTGTGATAAAATAAATATAAAATTTACCATTTTAACCATTTTCAGTGTACAGTTCAGTGATATTCAGCACAACCACAATTGTTGTGCAGCCATCATCAACATCTAGCTCCAAAATTCTTTATCTTCCCAAACTGAAACTCTGTACCCACTAAACGCTTATTTCCGATTCCTCCCCTGGCAACCATTCTGCTTTCTGTCTCTATATATTTAACTACTCATATAAGTGGAACCACATGATATGAGTCCTTTTGTGATTGGCTTATAGCACTTGGTATATGTCTTCCAGGTCCATCCACGGTGTAGTGTGCTTCAGAATTTCCTTCCTTTTAAGGCTGAATTTATTTTTAAATGAAGTGAAATGTAATTTTTAATGAAGCAGAATAGAAAATATTGAAGTGAATTTCTCATAATGAGGCCAAACATTCTTTCACAGAATGTTGCTTTCAGATGGATGTGTATGAGTGTGTGTTCTGGATCCCTGGGTATGACACACCATGTATAACAATCATGAAAGTTGGGAAAACGGTGATTTCAATATGTGGTGACTCCAAAATCTCCATTGTTGGTCTGGCTTTTGTCAACTCACAGTTCCTGAGCTCCTTTCCAATGAGTTGCTGGATTGCCCTGCAGTGTCTGAGCAGATCTAGACTCGAATGTGTCACCCTCTTTCCTCCAGACAAGCTCCTTTTCACATATTTCCCACTTGTGGCAAGTTAGTTGCTAAGTTGTGTCTGATTCTTGAGACCCCAGGGACTCCCCTGTCCATGGGATCTCCCAGGCAAGATTACTGGAGTGGGTTGCCATTTCCTTCTCCAGGGGATCTTCCCCACCCAGCGATCCAAACCCATGCAGGCAGATTCTTTACCAACTGAACCCTCAGGAAAGAAGTCATTTTCCACTTAGTTCTCCATAATCCGGCCCTGCCTGCCTCACTCTGGCCCCCAGCTATACATGCGTTATGAAGAATTACTCAAGTCTCCCCTGAACCTTCCAACTGTTGTGCAAGCTGGGTTTCATCCCCCTTCCATCCACCTCTATTTCTTACGGGTCATTTCCCCTTTCCCTAAGACCCCCTTCAAATGCCTCCCTCCCTGTCCCTTAAGACATCCCAACCGATTTGCTGTGGCTCGCTCCGCATCCTTCGAGTCCCCTGTCCGCATCTCCAGTGTGGCCTATGCATGTGCTATGTGTCATTCTGTCTTTCCCATAGACTGTGAGGTCCTGGGGACCCTGGACTGCGTCTGTCTTGCACATCACTGTGGGTTCAGCGTGTAGGAAATCTTCATTAAGTATTTGTTCAAGCGAGAACAGACGTGGAAGCCAAGAAGTTGGTGTTTTTTGCCTTTTCCTTCTTATTCCACATACTGTGCACCTTCTCCAGTACAGACCCGGAGCCCACTAAGCCACCTGTACTGCCCACCTTCCTCTCTACATCTCCCCTTCACCTTCGTTCCCAGAAGCATCCCCTGGACAGCACAGGGAGTGGCCAGGCAACCAAAAAAGAAGAATGTACACGGACTCACACCCCCACTTCCTTCTGGTGGAGTCTGTCCCTGACTCTCGCTGGAACAGCTGGCCCTCTTTGTGGCCCTTTGTGTCATGTCAAACAATGAAGGCTCTGCCGAGTCCATCCACCCGGCTCAGCCCAGAAGCAAAGAAGGGCCACCTGCATGAACCCCCGGCTCCCAAGTAGATCTGCCGCCAGCACCACGTTCTCCTTACTTCTGACCAGGCTGTGTCAACAGCCTCCCAGCCTCCTCCCTTTTCTATCCCTTTCCTGAAAGGCCCAGAGAGCCTTCCTTCACTTGGATCACATCACTACTCTACTCAAGGACCACATGCGGCTCCCTATGGCCTAATGGACGGAGTTTAAACTGTCCTTCTCAGTCCAGTAAGCACTTCCCTAAAGCCACTGACCCAAAAATACATCTGTCCCCTCCTTCCCTGAACGTCCCATTCCCTACACTCCCCCTTACCCCAGTGGGATCCACATCGTCACTGGCCTTCTGAGTTCACTACCCCTGCAGGCATGTGCTTTCAATCATTTCTCCATTACCCAATATTTCAAGAACCTACTATATGCCAGGCACCATATTTGGCACTCAGGGTACATCTGGGGACAAAACATAGTGAATCCTATCCCATGGAGCTTTCATCTAGAGCAGGGTTTCTCTCCCTCAGCGCTGCTGACGTTTGGAGCTGGATAAGTCTTTCTTGTTGTGGGCGGGCCGTGCATCATAACATCTTTAGCCCTGTCCCTGGCCTCAGCACGAGAGATGCCAGATGCTCTCCTCTCCCCGCTGTGACAACCTGAAGTGTCTCCAGACATTGCCTGAGGGGCAACAGTGCCCTGATTGAGAACCGCCGGCCTAGAGCAGCAGAGGGGAGCTTGTTACAAATCATCCGAGGAGCTCTTTAAAAAGGCCGGTTACTGGGTCCCCCTCCCAGACAGAGGCCCGGGAACCTGCATTTCAGTGACCACGCAGGTGACTCTCACGCAGGCTGTTCCAGCGCATCTACTGGATGAACACTCAAGTGTCAAATGTAGAAACACAGGAGACAGACCAGTAACCTTATCAAGTCAATTCATGACAATGATGAGATGTGTAGGAAACAAGATAGGGGAACAGATGCTATTCGTGCACCAGTGTGGCAGCCACAACCTGGTGAAGGGTCAGGACAGCCTCTAGGACTGTACAGCTGATCAACAGTTAAAGCCACGTGTGAGAGCATAGGCAGGGTCAGCCCAGGAGAGGTGCGAGGAGGCGGGGCTATATCTCCTCACCTTGGCTCCTCCCCTCTTGGGCTCTGGATCTGCATGCACTTCCCTCACCTGCCCCAAGCTTCTCCTTCCTTCACAGGCCCAGTCGGGTCCCACCTCCTCCAAGTGGTCTTCTTCCCTCCCAACTCCGGTCCGGTGGTGCCTTCCTCCTCAAACATTTCAACACTCATGTCTTAGCTCATCTGTGACCACTGTGCTTCCCCAACTAGACCTCAAGCTCCCTGAACACCAGGACCACAGCATCCTCTTTAAAGATCCCTTAGTGCCCTTCCGGGATGGAGGACATGTGAGTTTTGCTTACTTGATTGAATTCATCCAGGCCCTGGAGCAAGGCCTGTGAGGTGGCCGCTGAGACTGAGGGGAACAAGGTCTCTGTGTTAGAAGATGAGATGCAACTGGTATGGCCGCCGAATTCCAGGCAGCCAGCTCACCTGCCCAAGATGGAGGTGGGCCTGCCAGGGCAAGCACTTAGAAGCTGAGATGCCATTTGCTGTGGGCAGGATATTTTCCCAGTCTTGATAAGGCAGCAGGGGTCCCAGCAACCCCAGGGCCATTCTGGGTAGGTGCCAGCAGGGGGTAGGAACCCAGAGACAACCTGCTAAGGAGCAAGTGCAGCAAGCAGGCCATTTCGGGCCCAACTGTCCTCGCACAGGGTCATCTTAGTGGGGGCGGGGGTTGAGAAGGCGGCAGGCACAATGGGCTCTAACAAGAAGGGAGACTCTCTGAAAACGTCCTTTAAAGCTACCAGCACCACGCAGGGCCCGTCAGCTGCCCTCAACCAGAGAAAAATGCTCTCTGGGAAGGTCGGGGCAGCGGCTGGTTGGGAACAAATGCCCTGGCCAAGAGGCCTCATGCTCCCCAGCTCGAGGTCGCTGAGCGGAAAATAGCCCAACTGTTTGACTTTCCTACCGTGAGCCCGGGCCCAGCAGCAGCGTCACTTGCTCCCATCCCTGGATGCAGCCCAGACTAGGACGCCAGAGACTGATGTGGACTCCAAAGGATGCAAAGAGAACAACTGTTTTATTATTCGGAAGTTTAGGGAAGAAGCCGGGATGTTTATATAGCTTGCCAGGCGTTTTGTTTTCTATGGTCTGGTGGGGGGAGGGGCAGCGAGGGTAGGAAGACAACTGACAGCAACGGAAAAAACCTCGGGCAGAAAAGAGAAGCGGGGTCTTTCGGAAAGAGGCTCTGAAATGGGAGGATCCTAGCGCAGCCCTCTCCCCAGGTCCTGGAACCCCAAGCGGCTGCCCTCAGCCAGCCGCAGGCAGAAGCCCACGGTGGCATTCCCGTGTTTTGCCCACGCAGGGACTGAGGCCGTGCCCCAGCGCTGAGTCTCTTTCTCTTGATGGAGTTTGCCCACGGATGAGGTCGGGTAGGAGGGGGGCGCAAGAGGGGAGGGTTAACTTCTGCTGCAGCTCTAACCTTCTGCCGAACGATGAACCATCTGCTTCAGAAGGGATCGGGTGGTGAGTTTCCCGGCGCCAGTGGTTACGGGTCTGTAAGAATTCACTGTTTCTGTCGCATCGTCCGAGCCTACTGTCCACCCCGCCACACCTAACTCTGCACTCCTGGGCGGGGGGTGGAGGGGTGGACTGTGTTTTTTCCCCCAGGGGCCCCCACAAAAGTTCAGGACTCGAGAGGTAACCCTATACGGTTCTGAGCCCTCCATACTCGGCAGCCTCCCCTCCAACCACATGGCCACGGCACTGTGGACTTGAGGACACCGATCTGACCCCTGAGGCCGCTCAGGACATTCATATGTTCTTATCCTCCGCTTGGCCTGTCCGAATTCCAACCTGTCCCCCGTTTTCCACAACAGAACAAAGTTGTCGGGCCCCTCTGGCTAGCGCTGGGCGCAGGCGTTCTCCTCTGGCTGGGAGGAGAGATGGGTTTAGGCGCGCTGTGACCCAAACCTCACGCGGCTTTGCTCGAGGCTCAGTGCAGACCCCGGGGTCGCTCACCCGGACCACGCTGGGGCGGAGGCTGCGGCTGCGGCTGCCACCTGGGGGCTTGCTCGCGGGCGCCGCGCAACCCCACCCGCGCTCGGACTTTCTTACCTCTTGATGTAGTTCCTGCCATACAAGATCTGTTGCAGCAAGGTCACCAAGGCGAAGGCGCAGATGAAGATGAAGAGCAAAGTTCGGTTCCCCAACAAATCCCTGTTCGCCGAGGGGTCCGCGTAGCGCATCCTGGCGGCCGCGCGCGCACGGCGGAGCGCGGCGGGCGCCTGGCGCCTGGGGGCCCCCGCAATCACGCGCGGGGCTGCGGGGCCCCCGGGGGCGCGCGGCCCACCAGGCGCCTCTCGGCGTGATCAGGAGGGTGGGGGACTTCTCGGAGCAAAGTTTCCGGCTGGCGAAGCCAGAGCAGGCGCATCCGAGAGCCGCCCGCGCCGGGGCAGCTGGCAGAACAGGGCTGGCCTCCTCGAGCTCCACAGATACCCCAGGCCTCCCTTCCGATGCCTTTACCTCCGGGCGCCCATGCCGGGCAGCCTCCGACTTCCCTGCGGAGGGGCGACGCCAGGTGCCCCGAACCCGGGCGGCCCCTCCCGCCGAGGTGGCGGCCAATGGGGAGCGGGGCTCGGGCTAGGTCCGCCTGTGCGCTGGAGAGCGCCGCGCACCGCCCCCTCCGGCCGGGCTCCGGATCTGTCGCCCAGTGCGGTCCCCGGCCCTAGCGGGCCAAGTCTGATCCCCGGGCCGGCAGCGAGGGAGAGCGCGAAGGTCGGCCTTCAGTCCTACAGATGGGAGGTGGGGGACAAAACACCCGGACAGTCTGGGTAAAGACAGGCGGGCGACGGAGAGGGGGAGGGGTGGGGCGGAAAACGCCGGGTTTGAATCCCGGAATTTTAGAAGGAGGCAGGAAGGAAAGCCGCGGCGGAGCACTGAGTCACCGCCGCGGCCGCGTCCTCGCGCTCCTGGGGAGATACCTCCCGAGAAAGCCGAGCAAGGTCAGCCCGGCAGCCCTCAAGGACGGAGCGCGCGGCTCCTGCATGCTGATGGCCTGCGGAGCCGCCCGCCCGCCCGCGCCCCGGGCGCCCCACTCCAGCAGGGAGGAGATTCTGGGGCTTTCCGCCCGGCCACAGCTCTCGGCAGTTCGTCAAAGACCTTGTTGTCACCGACACACTGGGACCTTGTCTCATCCTTGGAACCACTCGTAAATCTTAGGTCAGGCAGCGGGCCGCCTTCGGGTACCACAGTCCCCCAGAGCTCTAGTAAGTCACTTTTTAGAAAGGTCTGCACTTCTAGAGTGCAGACATCGGTGGGGGTCGGGGGGGGGGGACCCAAAGAAATGCAATGCAAAAGACGTACTTCTTCAGAGATTCTAACCCCTCACTGGGCTCTCCCATCACCCTTCCACCCCCACCCCACCCCGCACGCCCCTCCTGGGAGTCTTGTGCCTGCAGCGGTCACCACGGAGCCCTAAGTGGATGATTCTAGGGCGTCTCTTTCCAGCGCCCTCCAGCCAATCCGGGCAATTGTAAAGTCAGGTCGGGGCTTCATCTCCGAACTTGATGCGACCTCGAATCTCTCAGCAAGAAAAAGGACATTGACAGGGAAGTGCCCAAACTCCAATACTCTGGTCTCAGCATCTAATAGTTTGCTCTTTGAACTGGAAGAACCAAAGAACTCACGGTTAAATCTCATGATTAGGGTTCCACCAATATCTTGGAATTCATGTTAATTTACAAGGTGAAAGCAGATCCTGTGTTGTCTATGTATCAAATAACTATTATCCATGAGGTTGCCAGTAGGCTTTTAGCCAACTAAAGAAATAACACATAAACTTTTAGATGGTACATTATTATTGTAACCCTATATTTGATCTGTGGTACCACCTCAGCTCAGTTCTGTCCTCAGTCCTGTCCTACTCTTTGCGACCCCATAGACTGCAGCACACCAGGCTTCCCTGTCCAACTCCCAGAGCTTGCACAAACTTTCACCAAGAGGCTCTTTAGTTCCTCTTTGCTTTGTTCCATAAGGGTGATGCCATCTGCCTATCTGAGGTTATTGATATTTCTCCCTGCAATCTTGATTCCAGCTTGTGCTTCATCCAATCCGGCCAGCATTTCGCATGATGTACTCTGCATATAAGTTAAATAAGCAAGGTTACAATATACAGCCTTGACCTACTCTTTTCCCAATTTGGAAACAGTCCATTGTTCCATGTCTGGTTATAACTGTTGCATTCAAACTGTATGTACAGTTATTTGCATATCATTTACATTGTAGTAAGGCAATATATATAATCTAGAGATGTGTATAGGTGTTATGCAAATACAATGCTGTTTTATGTAAGGGACTTGAGCACTGGCAGATTTTGGTGTCCACAGGAGCCCTGGAACCAATCCTGAGGATACTGAGGGATAACTGTATTCTATATGGGAGGTATTTGGATTGCTTGATACTCTGCAAATGATTATTAGCAAGAGTCCAGAGCATCTCTCGGAGAAGGCAATGGCAACCCACTCCAGTACTCTTGCCTGGAAAATCCCATGGATGGAGGAGCCTGGTAGGCTGCCGTCTATGGGGTCGCAGAAAGTCGGATACGACTGAAGTGACTTAGCAGCAGCAGCAGCAGCAGCGCATCTTTGCTGACACTGCTTTTTTGATCCTAACGACATTTAAAACATGCTTTCACAAGAAGTCAAAGAAGTGTCTTTCACACACACAATCACAAGCATCTCCGATGGAATCAGAGACTGATGATCTGGAAACATGGAGGTCTGCAGTTCCTGTTATTTCTATTAATGGGGATATGGTTCCATTTTAAGCCAAATTGATATTCTGATGGTAGAATTGCAGCAAACACTCAGAAGGCCTTGCAAACAAAAGAGTAAACACATGGAGAACCGATCCCTCTGCCAGACTCAGCGAACACCATTTTTATATCCTAATTGCCAGGAATGGGGACAGCTGCATCTTTGTTTAAAACACACACTCACGCACAATTAAGCCAAGAACAAATGTCAACACTGGCACAATCTGCTAAATTACTGATAACTGATGGGCATTACTCATGCTGTGAGCATTGTCTCCAATAGAATATGGAAAGATTCCTATTTTGAAAAGATCTCAGAGGTTTCTACTGGTTTAAGAAAGCTGCATTTTGTTTCAGCCGCACAACTGCAACCTGCCAGGTTATATAAGTAACCTTCCACCCACGTGTTCAAGGAGTTTATGATAAGAATATGCTGTTCCTGTAGGTCTTTATATGAACAAGGCGGATTTCTGGTTTGGGGACACTTTCCTGTGATGAGGGTGTCTAGTGGCCACTGGCTAAAAATGCCAGGGATGGCCTTATAATCCACTGAGCCAGGGTTGCCCCTTGCATGGGCAACTGCAGACACTGGACTCTATGCCATCAGTCTTGTTTTCAATAAATTATTATTATAGACTATAATTTAAACTCCTTTTTCAGTTCCCTTATGAAGTATGAGCTTTGTTCTAAATAACTTATGAAATAATCTTGAACGTGAATGTGAAGTCCCCTTTTGACCTTCACATCTCCAGCCTGACAAACATCCTCCTTCTGTCTCAGCACCACCTCTCAGGGGTCAACTGAAAGAAAAATACACAATGTAAAGGTAGAGAGTTAAGTTTTATTCATAGCCCAGGAGACAGCCTCTCAGATAGCTCTGAGGAACTACTCCAAAGAGGTAAAGGAGGAGCCAAGATATATATGATTATTTTTTTGCTGGAAAAAAACATGTAGTGAAACATCAAAAGATGACTGCTAATCACAAAGAACAGACCTCTCAAGTTAATGATTTTAGTGCTTTTCGATGTACAGGAAGATGCAAGAATCTGGGGTCTCTTAGACATTTTCCTTAGACGTGCACCTTAACTATCTACGGACAGTGTATCCAATGGACAGAACACTTCCTGTTTTTTTCCATCCTGAATTTTCTTCTGGAGAAGAAAATACAGTGGCTAATGGCTGTATCCTTGTAGAACTGAAAAGGCAGGCAACATTTTTGTTTACACAGGTATTTCTCCCCTACATTTGCCCCAGTTTATTCAGTTTGCTTCAAAAGATAGAGGCATCATTATTATTATTCCATAACAGTTTATGCATTCAGGGCATATGGTGCAGAGAGAGCCATTTCTACCTCAGGCATGTCATACTCCTACAGATCGAAATAGCTACACAGTTTATGATAAGGTTACTCAGAACACATTTAGAGGGAATTCCCTGGCAGTCCAGTGACTCAGACTGCACTTTCATGTCCAAGGGCCTGGGTTCAATTCCTGGTTGAGGAACTAAGATCCTAGAAGCTGTGAGTCACAGCCATAAAAAAGAACACATTTAGATGACATGATGACATGGTGGCCAGAAAGAACCTGGGATCTCCTTTGATCACTTTAAAGGCCAAGCTCTGGGGTAGAAACACTAGGATCAGGTTCTGTCCTTTGAGCAAGAGCACTGATGAATTCAGCTGAATGTTTATCATTGCAACCCAATACTGCCCTCGAGATGCGTTTTGTGACTGGTCAGTATAATGCTAGAACTTCAGACAAATGCCTATAAATATAGCTGCCTAGAAATGTCTAATGTTCCTTGGGTACCTGAGAAATGGAAAGGAATGACTGTTCCCTGTGATCATCCATTTCTAAAGCACCAGGGGGGTTCCCAGTCCTGATGCCATGGCCGCAGCAGAGCCCCTGTCATTTACCCACAGTACCAGGTCCTAAAATCTCCAGTCACTTGGTAGCCGTGGTGGAAGAGCTTCCAGGTGCTTGGTCTTCTATGAATGCCAGGGAAAAAAGATCAGCCAGCCTGTGCCCCAACAGCTTCATAGCACAGTGAAGACAGATACACAGTACTCTACAGGAGGCTATGTGTGCCAGGGTGGGGAGGTGGGGAGGGACCGATTGGCAAGAGACGTGTCCAGAGGAGGCAGTGTTTGGCCTGAATTGTGACGAGTAAGGAGGTGGGCCATGAGGAGCCCTAGGATGAGATACGCGGGGCAGAGGAGCCGGGTGGGCAGCCGCAGACGTGGCACAGCCAGCTCGGCGTGGCTGGAGATGAGGCTGGAGGGGGGTGGTGGCAGGAACCAGGACACGGGGAGCTGGGACTGTATCCACAGAACTATTGCAAGATTTTAAGTAGGGGAACAATATGCTCAGATTTGCGCTTTAGATAAATCAATCTGCCGGGTGGTGGAGAACAGTTTGAGGGAGAAACGCCTGAAAAGACATGGAGGTGACAGCTTATCTTGCTTCCCCCTGCCAGCAGCCAACCCCTCCCCACCACTGCAGCCCCCCGACACCCCACTGGCAGCCAGCCCCAGCAAGGATCTCTCGTTACTGTACCAACTTGGTAAGGCACTCTCTGCCTCCTTCCAGAGGAGCAGGCCGGGGGTGGAGGCACAGGCTCACTGCTTCATGAGAGCCGGCACTGTATTCAGTGCTTCACATGTGGTTCATTTGATGATGTTCATGGCCATTGGCAAGTATGCTAGGGGCAGACCCACCACATACTGGGACAGCTCAGAGCTTGTCTCTGATACTCTCCTTTCCTCCCCCTCCCCCCACTCCTCGCTTTCCAGGGTTCCCTCTGGTTCCTTGTGCAAAAATATACTCTCCCCACTCCCTTTGAAAGCCCTGCTCTTGGGAAAGGCTCTGATAGCTTTCATTCAGTACTCCTGCTGGAAGGAAATTCAACATGAAGCTTTTTCTGTGCCTGTAATAAAGGCCGGCTCCAGGAGAGCTGCGCACAGAACACTGGAGAGAAACTTCAGGTGAGCCGCACCATAGCCACGTCCTCAGGTTTTCAGTGCAACCTACTGGGGAGAGAACGTGTGTCTGATGTCACAATAGAAATCCATGGAAACAGGACTCATTTTAAAGGAAACCTCTTGTAAAGTTTTCTTGTCAACACCTGCATATGAGAAATGACAGG